GTGTGACGGCTTTCTGGTTATGTCTGCACGTCATGGAGGAGCCTTCTAAAGGAGTTTCAGGAAGTTTATGTTTGGAAGCCGCGATTATCACTCTCGTTCATGGCCCAGCTTTGTAATGGGAAGCAGACGCCTCACAGAAGTGCCAGGAAGGGGGTCTGCTTTGAAACGTGTTCGAATAAAAGGATTGAGAAGAGCCTAGTGCTTACAAATATCATAAAGACACTTCATTATTGACGGTGCCTGCCTCACATTCACTGTGGACTTGCAAGCCCCAAACTCATCCTGCCCCTGGATGGCCGGGGCACCCAGCCCTTCCGCCTCCACACTTTGTTTTTCTTTCCTTAAAAAAAAAAAAAAAAAAAAAAAGCTGTAATGAGATGCACAATTAACAACATGTTTAGCTAATTGACTCTGTCCACGGCATATCCCAACCGGGGCGCTGAGAGGTAAGTCTGTCACCTGGAGCGTGCCACAAAAAGGAGAAAAGGCAAAGTCAGCAGCTAATAGAAATCGTGACTTGGGGAGGACGCCCCTACCCACGTCAGATCAAAGACACAGACAGACTCTTCCCACCAAATGAACTCGCCTCTGAGCTCTTGGCATTGGCTTCAGCACTCTCTATTATCAACTGGAAAGCAAAATGCCTTGTTTTATCTGAAAGACGTTCCCAGATGGCACATTCCCCTGCGTGCACCCCCTCAGTTGCGAGTCTGAAGGCATCGTGATCAACACCATGGTCAATCCGGATGGCCCAATCGCATCGAATCCGGCCTGCGTGAAAACACTTCGCTTCTGACCTCCTTGACACCAGAGCCCAGAGCCGCCCCAGACGCCGCACACTGCACTTACCCTGGAGCGAGCGGGCGTGTCTGCCGGCGCTCATCCCCTGTGGCGTGTGGCTGCAGAGGGACAGCTGCCCCGTGTCCGGCTCCACGCCCCAGGTGCCCGCAGCGGCAGCAGTGCGTTGGGGCTGTGTCTCCGCGCACTGGCTGGCTCTGGGCTGGGAAGTTTCAAGCATTCCCTTCTCCCCCTTCACACACTTAACCCTACCTTGTCTGGTCAAGAGGGATCCAGACAAAATCAACCTTCTGCATCAAGAGCTGCGTCCGGCTGCCTCAGAGGCACAGAGACTGTTCCCGGCCCCACCTGGCTTTCACCATAAACTAGAACGAGCGGCCAAGGCCCAGGACGCTGCGGCTTTGCAAGGGTGAGCGGCTTTTTCCTAACCCACTGGGCTTTTTTCCTCCCAGGCGGCAGAGGGGTGCACCTGCTCCAAGGAATTTGGGATGTCCAGCCCTCTGGTCTCTGGGGGGGTCACCCTCGGTGGGGGCTTCCCCAAAAAAGTTAAAAACCAAAACCCAACCCAAGCCCAACAAAGGGCAACGGGTGGGGGGGATTCCAGCCCACTCCTCAATTCTCTGTGGGGACCCTCGGCCAGCCTTGGTGCTTTCAGAGCTCTGGTTTCCTCGTTTGTAGGAGATAAACAGCACCCAAAACTGAGCTGCAGCCACTGAGGCAGGCTACTGCCAGGTGGAGTGCAGGTGCATCAGTGACCCTGCCTTCCCCTGAGCCCCGCGTCGCCGTTCCATCCACTTAAGGCGTCCTGGGCTCTCGTGAGCTTCCAGGGAAACCGAGTCACAGGAATTTAATCATGGCCAAAATTTAGCCCATAAATAGCTATTGAGCGGCTTCATGCCGGATGGGGAGATGTGAGGGCGGGCGCAGGAGGAGGCGTGGGCACGTGCCCCGAGGGCAGCAGCACACCTTGCGTTCTCAGTTAGGTCTGGACGGCAGATTTGCAGCGCCTTTTCCCACATTCTACTTTCCTGTATTTTTGAAGTTTGCTACAATGAGCATACATTGCCTTTATAATGAGAAAACAGACATTTAAAAAATGTTTCAGAAGCCCATCCTGACCGCCCCCTCATTTTCCCCAGACCTGCTTCCTTGGAAAGACCCTTCCATTGCTTCCACGCTGCTGTTTTCACACTCGCCTTCCGACGGGCACCTCCCACGGCCCATGCGCCCCAGTTTCACACTCGCCTTCCGACGGGCACCTCCCATGGCCCACGCACACCAGTTTCACACTCACCTTCCAACCGGCACCTCCCATGGCCTGAGCACCCCAGTTTCACACTCGCCTTTCGACAGGCACCTCCCGCGGCCCGAGTGCCCCAGCAGCTCCCTTTGCTCCCCTGAAGCAGGTGTGGCCAGTGAGGCTCCGGGAGGGAGATGTGCCCGTCCTTATGGGGCCTCCGGCCTGCGTTCCCCCCGCCTACACAAAAACTGACTCTCGCTTCCAGGAAGCTTCTAGAAAGGGCCCCAGCACTGTGGTCAGAACACAGAGTCCCAGCACACTGGTTGGTGCACCCTCAGCCGCCCCTAAGTGAGGTGTCTGG